AATCAGTAAATGTGTTTAGGACTGCAAAGGTCTTTTGAAGTAATTATTGTTTCCTAGGAACTGAGAATATACTCTAAATATCATCCAATTTCTCTCTGCAGCTTTATGCTTTCGGGATATAAAAGTAAAGAAGAAACAAGTTTTCTCATTCACCTTATTAGGGAACCTTTGTAAATGGGAACATTGTTTGAAAACCACAAAGAGGAAGGAAGAGGAGAAGCAGCTTCAACTAAACTGAAAACCAACTTGCTTGGCAAGTGTTTCCAACATTCCTTGCAAATACATTTAGCTGGCAGTTCCTAAGAAGGTCCTCTTTATTATGACATGTTTTGCAGTCTTTGCAGTTCTTAATGGAAAAGTTCTGCCTTAAATTCCAGCAGCACAAAGAGATTCTCAGCACACTGGCCTGGATCTACAGCCTACTGTTGTTAAATTGCATTAGTTTACACGGGCGCCAGCAAACCACTGACAGAATGTTCACCCCAATGGTCGCCTTTGCCAGTCCACATTATTCTCCTTTGACCATGCACCACTGATCAGAACGAGGGGAAAAGGTAACTCCCCTCTTTCCAGTGATGATGAACACCAAGCCCCTCTTCTGCAGATGCATTTAGATGCTGAATTCCAAACTGGAATAAATCTTCAGACATAATTTAATGACATAAATTCCCTGGGGGACTGCATTGTTGACCATCTCCAGCATACCAGTGTTTTCACTCTGGAGAGGAAGTGACATTTGAAGATAAGAGACGTTGAATTGTGCTGATATAAATGACAGCTATATGATCCAAGCCAGCCACCTGGGAGACATGCTGAACTTTGGTAAGCAAGTTGGTTTGGCTGTGGGATCAAACCCTGTGTTCCAGGAAATACAGGCCAGGCCCCAAATATAATACTTCAAAAATGTTTTGGGAGGAAGACAAACTGTCTCTAGGGCTGCATTATCTCAGAAGCAGTTGGCTAGGCAGTCACATGGTCAGCTGAAGGTAATAAAAACATCTTTTCTCTTTCAAGCAACTTTTTTCTGATACCCTCCTCTAGGTCAGCTACAAGATGTTTCAGCCTGCCAGAACACTCCACCAGTGACTTCTGAGTAGCAATGGTGGAACAGAGAAATTACAATACAGTAGAAAATTCTGATGTCTTATAGAAGGTTTGCAATAGTAGGTTCTTAGTCCATTATATATGCTAGTTGATAAGGTAAGACCCCCCCAACTTCCTCTATGAAACTTCCTCTTGATCTCAGCTATTGTGGAATCCCCACCTGCTTCCCCTTCTATAACTCTTTGTATTTAAAGTCTTGTAAATAGTGAACAGTGAATATACATCTATGTCCCTGTAAAGTGGGTTAGTCTTGAAGGTGCTACCAAACTCCATGTTTATTTTGCTGCCATAGATGTATACAGCTCTTCCCTACGAACTCTTCTGGTTCGGGCTCCCCAAAGCTTGAAGTAGCCTGCAACTACTAAGAACACAGGTAACTCAGGCTTTATTATAACTGAATGATAAAAAATAGTTACTAAGTAGGCTTGGGGTTGATATTGAGTTTACTCCCCTCCTACTTCAAATCCAACACATTGTTTTCCTGTGTTTCCTGCAAAGATGAAGCTTTTGTTCTTTCTTCATGCTCCCCACATTCTGCCCTGAGGAGCACTTGAGAAGATCAAGTTGTATGCCACATAGGAGTTACAGGGAGGCTGTTATTCAAGCTCTGAACAACATCTCTTACAACAGGATTTTGAAACTAGGCTAAGGGGAACATGCAGATTAAGACCACATGTGCTGATCTCTGACTAGATGGGTAAATGACTTATGTAAGGCAGCTCCTATGGAGTTAAAACAATGAAGATTCAGGATTACACCTTTCTTTAGGGGTAAAGTAAGTAAAACATAAGGGTGTTGTCTCAGGCCTTGGATGCTGGGCGATGGATAACACTAATGTTATCCACTAATGTTATCAACCAATCAAGCTTCCATCCCAACATCCCCCCTAGGCATCATGTAAGAATATTTTCTCTTGACACTATTTTTTTTCCTCCCTCTTTCCTTTCCTGTTACATCACTCCATATCAGAGGCTACTCAAGACCCCATCTAGGGAACCATAGGAGAACATGGACTTGTTCTGATTCGTGGAGCTCCTGCATGGCACAGCCAGGCTTTTCCTTGATGTCAGAACCCTAAGAAGAGCATCTTTAATCCAGTATTATCAAACAAAAGCTTTTCTGTTTCTGTATCACACATAAAGGTTGCAAGGTGAGAATTTGCCTGCATTCGTAAGGATTATGAGCAAATCATGTCACTTTATTTCTTTATTTATTACCAGTCGCAGAAGGACATGATTGAGAGGCTCCTTTTTATGAGTTTCTGGTAACAATCTCTTGACTACCATAGAAACAATTCATTGAGATAGACAGAGCTTTGGTTTAAATAAATAGAGCTCTTCTTAGATTTTCCTATCTGGCCTATCATGCCTAGTAATTTCAACAGCTATTGTTCACAAACGTGTGCGATCCCTGTTTATTAATTTGATCCATTAATTTGATTCATACTTCTCTTTCCCTGTCTTCCAAGATCTCAAAGTAGTGCACGTAGCACTTGCTTCTTCCATTTTTCCTACCACTACAACCCTGTGGGGTAGGTTGAGATGAAACAAAGTAACTGGCCCAACATTACCCGTGAACTTCCATGACTAAAGGCAGACTTGAACCTGGGTCTTCTCATCCTAGTTTAACACCTTAAGCTTGTAGCAGTGAACTCCATCATGATGTAGTGACCTCCAAAACCCCAAATCAGTTTCATTTATTTATCTAAACAGACATCATGGGGCAATACTGCTCACTTCTACTTTTACCAGCATGAGCATTTCCTCAAGTTTCATTTTATCCTACCAAGTGTTTCCAACAAAGAACTGACAGGTAAAAGACTGGATGGAAAGGAGTCGCAACCCTGGTTGATCCCCACTGCCGAGGAATATTTAAGTATCAGTCAGAGGAGAAGACGGTCAGCATTGGATTACCTAAGATTTGCCTGAAACCCCCAGTTACCCCCCTGTCTGCTACCCACTATGTACTTACACTCTTTTCTAGATCCTCCATCAGGTAGTGGGTTGGCCAGACTGAGGTTGTTCGATACACTCATGTTTGAACCACTATCCAAACTATTGCCAAGATGTAACCGCCGCATATGTCTCACAACAGCTGTGGCGTTAAAAGCTTGCTGGACAAGAAGAGATAAAGAAATGGGGTTTAGGCATTTTGGAGAAAAAGAGGTACTACAGTATATTGGCATTGCCAAATATTTCTCATCCAAATGCTAAAATGCTGGGGGTTTAAGGCAGGGGGATCCATGGAGGAAGGGGTAAAATAAGTCAAGATGGCAGACATCACCAAAGCCCCCACCCTCCTTTTACAGGGGTTGCCCATATGATGTCTGTAAAAAAGGGGAGCGGCTGCGGTTGCGTGACTGTAGCCTTCATCTCCCCATGAATGCTCCTGATTTAAGGACATGTATACACAGTTGTGCGTTCCAGCATTCACACAAGGCAGATTTTGTTTGGGACATGCAATAAAAGAACAAAAAATATTACCCCTCAGCTTCCTTTTCACTCCAGTTACTAGTCTGGAAATATCCATCACCATCTCACAGCCTTGGAAAACAATATTTTTTTTATCCCCCCCTAGTTAGAGCAAATGATTTTCTACAGCAATGAAAAGTGTAACACCCACTCCAAGAAGTTTATCTAATGAAAGAAAATGTTATATATAACAGATATTAATCCAGTCACAAAAGTTGGCCTAGTTGGACAGAAATTGATGGCCAGACATCAATTCATAATTCTTTTCAGAGAAAGGATTGTTTCCCCGCCCCCCTTTGTTTGTTCACTTGACTTTGGTGATATTGATTTAATTAGGATTTAAACTTAGTTCTTCTCTTTAGCAATTAAAGAGGCCCAGTAGGAAGATGTGCCTTTTGGAATTTGGAACTAGAAGTGTTTGGGGTGGATGAATAAAACTAGAATCTGCTGTTTTCCCTTAATCCATGAGTTTGTCCCTTGTACAGAAAAAAACAGAAAGAGAATTAAGACATAACATGGTTTCATTATCTTAGAACCGTGTTTCTCAACCTTGGCAGCTTGAAGATGTGTGGACTTCAACTCCCAGAAATCCTCCGCCCCCCCCCCTTGGCTGGGGGTTCTTTGGGGTGGAAACCCCAAAACTTTCAAACTTCCAAGGTTAGGAAAAAAGGTCTTAGACAA